CGCGGAGTATTCAGGAAAAATACAACATTACGACATTTGTGATGTGAAATGCTCTAACAAACAAACAGCTGTTACTTGACGCATCTGAGGAAGGAAAAGGTTTGAAGACAAAGGTAACTAACAAACCACAATGACGTGTATCTTAAAATATATATATATATATCCACGTATACAACCTTGTCAGATATCGTTTGTAAATTGTTTTTATGCTAATAGTCTTTCTGTCTCTTGTTTTAAACGTTGATGATATAAATGAGTGGCAAAGAAATCTCGCTGATACTGTATTATACTTTTGTAAGTTTATTCACTGACATCATTCACAAATATGACTGACTTATCCATTATGCATAAGAAGAATAGTTTAAGACCATTTTAGACCAGTTTAGGATCATTTTGGATCACTGCAAATATCAGCCACATTATAGATTTCTGGTTAACACATTACTGATGCTTCAGACTGCCTTTCACCCCCATCAACAATGAAATACTACTCAATGGCACCACTAACAGATACGGGGTTGTTCATTGGCACCTCCATCATTCAGCTGTACAGTGGCATTTTCGGTGAGTCACAATACCACAGAGGATGTCGGCTTCCTGCGCTTACACTATACGACTGAGACAGGCAGTCAAACTTGACAAGTCCTCTCCTCCAGCAGTCTTGTCTGTGTCTTCTCCAGTGAGCTCACCTTAACATACGTTTTCGTTTTGCTCTTTCTCTATGTGGATATTATCGGGTTCGGCGATAGAATTGACCCCAAGAGTAATGGTGAAGCATAAACTTGACACGAAGGCACAGTGAGTGTGGGTTTTCTCACAGTATATCACTCTGTTTTGTGTTGCGCGAATAAAAGAGGCAGAAGTGTAGTTTCAGCTTGCAAGAGTGAAAAAAGGTAAATAACGACTTCAGCAGCGGTGGAATATCAAAGCGGCATCAAGTGTACATATCCGAGGCCACGATGATGTCTACACTGAATAGTTCTGTGTACCAGCGACACCTCGACCATGGGACACCTACGTTCAGGGTACTGTACATTTATATCATTTTATATATCTTGATTAATGTTTACTTGATGAAAGCTGTATAGATGCTATGAATTGCCATTTATCTTTAAAAAAAAACAGCAATACAATTACATGTTACCTACGAATTTTACACACCATTATCTCAGGGTGAATAAACAATGAATTACAGATCATAACTTAATCCATGAGTCATCCCTACCTTCAAAGAAAACGAACATGTACATTGTTACCAGATACACAACCTTGAGTGCTTGGACCATCTGTGTTTCCCCTGATTACACGTCCGGAGGTGTGGGAGTTCTCAGGTACACTCACTTGGTCACATACATACATACATACCTACGGAAACGCACACATATACACACATATGATATATGAATATAATAAGAATAATATTAACAATAATAGCAATAACAATAATAGTAGTAGGAGCAGTAGTAGTAGTAAAATTATATTGATAATAATAATAATCATAAAAATAATGATAATAATAACAATAATGATAATAATAGTGGTTAAGATAAGAATAAGAATTATGATAATTACATTGATAATGATAATGCCAATAATGGAAATAATATTGATAATAATAATAATAATAATAATAATAATAATAATAATAATAATAATAATGATAACAACAATAATAATCATAATAATAATAATAAAACAATAACACAAATGACAACAGTAGTAATAATGAAAATAGTAATAATAATAATGATAAAAATAATAATGATAAAAACAACAATAACACTAATGACAACTTCAGTAACTTTGACTGAAAGGGCTTTTCAAAGCATGTGGGCAGTTCTGTTTAGTATTATCTGTTGTATTTCGTGAATTTGAATGTTTTAGGAGGAAAGTCGACTGTAATTGGCATTATTGTTGTTTTGGTGTTACACTCTTTCAACGTCTATTTGAAGATCTTTATACTTTGACAATTTTTCAAATCTTTCTACAGAGACGTTTCTATCTGAAGGGACAGCCATGTCTATCATCACGCAGGTCTTGTTAGCATAATCTTTCACAACAATATCCGGTCGATTAACTTTGAATTTGCGGTCTGTTATCAGGATAATGTTCTAAAGAATAGTCACATTGTCATTTTCAATGCCTGGTTCAAGCTTATGTTCATATCAGTTGCAGTACTAGCTTAATTAATGGACGTACATCCCAGGTCATGGCGATTTTTATCTTCAGTAGGGGTCAATATAACAACCAGATACAAGGAGGTCAGTGGTTTCAACATGCTTGTCACAGAAGTGGAATTTAGGGCTAGCTCCATTTTTCAGAACAAACTGGCTTGATAGTTCCTGGTAAAGACGTCTTGAGCAGCTTTTAAGAATCCTTTCGTTTCGGCCTTCAACCCTGACGCACGTAACCACTAATGAATGTTTAATTAATCAACGACGAAGCATTGTGTTCGCGTAGGATATTAACCATGGAGAGGTTTACTAACCCAAATGACATC